GTATAAATTATTCTTGAATAATGAAAAATTTGACAATTTAAATATGCATATAACTTAGTTTTAAACGGTTACAGTTCATTAACAGCAGACTAGTATGTTATCATATGAATCTGAATTTACCTTTGACTGCGCTGTACATGAATGTATATCTGAAAGCCTGTTTTTGCTTCCCAGCTTTCTTTCTCCGTTTTGGGTAGAAGATACTTCCAACATTTCTCAACATCAACTTAGACACGATCCGAAGCACACATTGTTTTATGTCGATTCCCCCTTCCAAGCTTAGCGTTTTCACCTGCAAGAGACTAAAAGTTCATTATTTAAAATTGAAAGTAGATTACGAATTTGACACAAATTTTTCCCTGATTACCATTTAAAACTATAGGTAGTCCTTGTCTGAGCTGGAGGCAAGGCTGAGCTCTATCATGTCAATGTCCTGGACCGTTTTCAAATGTATATCAGGCTGGTGTTCTGGTTTACGTTTGACAACCCCATTATTGTTTCGCAGCGTCTCCACTCACTTATCATTCAATCAGGTTTCATTTCATGAGCTTCTGCTCCTGAACCAGAGTAGTGAGGAGTTCTGAAAACAAAATTGATACATAAAATTATTTAAAATGAAATCTGAGCATAATAAGGAACAAGCAGGCCCGCCCTTCCGCCAAACGGAGCTGCCAGCTCCACTTCGCTGCGCCGGCAACTCCGTTCGGCAGGGGCCGGGCCTTCTTTGCCTGCCGGCGGCGATGGTCGTGCCTTCGGCCCGACCATTTCAGTCTCGCGATTTACCGAAGTGCATAATCAAATAAATAATGTGACCGGTAAATCACTTTGCATATTTGAGTAAACTAACGCGTCCGGTGGGGAACTGCAGCCCTAGAAATTTGCTCCTTGGACATGACAAAAGACTGTAACGGGGCAACACCGTGACTACAGCCCACCCTTCTGCTTTGCTTACAAAAAATTAACCCACGCAGTTTCTAGATTGTATATTGTTTGTCAAATAGTTTAAAACTTTAGTTTTTGCCATTTTTTTCAAGATATCCTCTAGGGCCGAAACAGTGAAAGATACGGCAAATCCGAGGGTAGTTCCCGATTCAAAATGTGTTGTTTTGGGGGGGGAACTGCCTCTGACATTTTACGATTGGACGCCTCCTTGTTCGTCTTTATGTGCAACGTGGTCATTTTCGCCGTATTTTCGTCGAAAAAAGCACTCTAGCGCCCAAACGGTGCAAGATAGAGGCAAACGGACGAAATTTTAGACCAAGGGTTCTACTTTCACGAGTTACCTCTTAGAGGACCATAAAAAAATTGTTTCCTACTTTTTGGACCAACCCCTATTTCTTTGTTACCCCTTTTCACCCCCTCAGGGAAAGTTCACAGGATTTGCACCAGGCGTTTCTTTGTCCAGGAGTGACCCCGTAGATACCCTGAAATTTGCAGACCTCTCGCTCATCTCCTTCCTCTTACACGGACGACGGACGGACGGACACGAGAGCGGTTGCATAAGCCCGCTTTAATGCTTTTTTAAAAGCAGAAGGGCGGGCTAAAAGCAGAATACAGACCAAGAGCAGATGTTGGTTTTGACTTGGAGTTACTTTTTGAAATATCAGAATGAGACGAGACCAGGGCGAACATTAGAAGTAGAAACCGAGGAGGAGGTTGGAGCAGCATCGGATGCAATAGTGTTCAAAATAGGGATTGCAACGGGGTGAAGGGGAGAGAGAAATCCAGGTTGGGCACAGGTAAAAGTAGAACTAGGGGAATTGTCAGAATTACTAGGTGTCTGAGAACCAGAATAAGATGAATGAATTAAAAAAGAGTCGAGTCCTATAACACTATGAAGAAGCGTGGTAGTAAAAACTTTCAAAGTCCCAATAATATTCTTTTGGAAAGTGTATTCCATCTGCATCATAACATTACTGGAATGTTACGTGCAAATAGTTTTTGATTTCCTGAATAGTACAGTTTTTGTACATAACCTCTTCGTCTGCCTCACAGCCCATTGATTACCCACTTTGGAGGTGTGCAACATGGTAGAACTTATGTCTTGTAATTTAAGCAGATTGCTTGCAATCTAAGGCACTTTTCCTTTAATTTCAAGCAATCTTCTTGATTTACATGTACAAGATATCATCTTTAACGCGAAAAATTACCCCACCGGAGCCTTCTCTTCCTCTGCTGCTAAGCACTGGCTTTCTTTTTTGGTCAGGCTGTAGAATGGTGGCAGCCATGGGGTCCAACAGCACTTCCTTACTTGAAGTGGCTGTTCGAAATTTACAGCGTGTCATGCTGCAACGTATGTCTCTTTACGCTGCTACTCGTGGAGCAGTCTCTGCACGTCGCCTGCGTCGTACTGTTTTCCGAGGTATCCTGGCGGTTCGAGTTTTGGCGGTTAAATAAGGTACGGCGACACATGGGGTACAAAAAGAAGGTGAATCACTACTGGGCATTACTCAGCGAACGTGCAATTTAGGATTAAGGAATTCGACGCATCCGTGCAACATAGGCGGATCAGAAAGCGGTCACTGGACAACGACGGATCAGAAAACAGTCGCTGAACAAAGACGGATCTGCTTTTTGCTGATCTCGGCAAACTTGACTTTGAAGGCCTCCCACTCATCGCGGAGACGTTGTATCGTTTTCAGTGAAACGCCATTTTAATTGTCATCATCTCGTGAACAAAAAAGACAACACCCAATACGATGTGATACTTCTAAAGAGAGTGAGAGAGGCCTCCAAAGTCAAGTATGCAGAGATCCGACAACAGCTTAAGTCGGTTTTTCATCGAAAATGTAAAATTGGTATCATAATGCAATTCCAAAATCGACCACAATTTAATGGTTTTATGGGACCTCTGTCCTTTTTTTTATCCTAATACTGATATGAAGTAGCACGAGGGGGCCCACAACTCCGAAAAATTTTGTACACCTGATTTTCGGATTTCAAAGATTTCACATGATTCCAGGTGATTTCCACGGATTTCAAAGATTTCAAGTGAATTCACTGATTTCGCGAGATTTCACATGATTTCCATTGATTTCACATGATTTCCATTGATTTCCGTTAAATGTCTTCTGAATTCATAGGAATTCCATTGACTTCCTGAGATTTCCAACGATTTCAAGTAATTTTGGCGTGATTTTGAGAATTTCCCTTGAACTTTGCCATACAAGGAAGTATTTTAAAGAGTCGTAGTCGTCATGGTGTAACAGATAGAACTTTCTCAATGTTTTATTGTTCCAGTTCAATAGCCTCTCATGTACCAGATTTGTGCAAATAGGGCAGATAATGAAAGCTTTTAATGTCCCAGTTTCTGTGTTAATTGACACTTCTGGCTTACGGAGTAGTTCTTTTTGTAAAAGGTTTTGCATTGGTTGTATAGACGTAAAAATCCGTGACAACAATTTATTCTTCTCACAGATGTGACTCTGCTCATTGTCAGGCTGCCCACAACCAGAACCTTTGCAGGAGCGTGGAGTTGACCTAGAAACAAACAAGTAACATGAGACATCAAGCTAATATATTGAATTGCTATCAGTTTGCGATAATGTACAATACAGAAAGCAATACCTTGCTTGGGCTGCTACATTAGTTTTAAAATGTTTTGGGGGTTTGGGGGTTTTTGGCTCAGGTTGCTCCAATTTCTTCTTACTCTTGATGTGGTTCTGGCAAATGTCAGAGATATTTTGCAATGTTATTTTGTGACCTTCGGCAAATATAAAACATTCAGGTAGTAGGAAGTATGGACCGAAGTACTCCTTTTTTCTTTTAACACTGTGGTCTGAATCTTTGGCAGCAATTTGCACTAGTGCAGTTTGGCAAAATACTTGTAAAGGTTCCAAGTGCAGTTTCTCCCTATATTCTGCCATGGTATCGAAATTGTCAAATCCATTGTACTCCAGAATGCCAATAATGAAAGCCGGGACCGCGAGTTTCTCCTTTATTACATCCCAAAACTTAAGCTCCTGCAACAGAAAACAAACAAAAACATGAGGAAAAAAGTATTTCTAGGATATTCAACAAACGACATTGGCATAATCTCCCTACATATACCCACACTTTTCTCTGTAGGGCTTGCAGAGGGGCTTGCCGAGGGACTTGCCATCCAACTCGTCTCTCCACAACAATTATTGAAAATAATCCGTGGAGAAACCTGTGATTTCGTGTGATTTCATGTGAATTCAAAGTGATTTCGTGTGATTTCATGTGAATTCAATGTGATTATGTGTGAATTCAAAGTGATTTCAACAGATTTCAAGTGATTTCAACGGAATTCAAGTGATTTCAAGGATTTCACTGATTTCAATGAGATTTCAGTAAGATTTCCAAAGATTTCGATGGCCTTGTACACCTGAATTCCAGAGTTGTGGGCCCCTCGAAGTAGCATAACATGCAATTTAAAACCTGTCCAAGCAAACGGAACAATTTTCAAAATGTTACTAAATGTCATAAAATTAAGTAAATGTTTTACAGGGTACGACCACAAAAATGCCAATGTGGAGATTTGTGGGGAACTTTGATATGTTGTACAGGAAGGTCTCATTCGGAGTCGAAAACCGTCGAAAAAAGTGTGAGCGATTTTTTCCAATCTCAAACCCCAATTTTCTTGGACTATACTACCTTGTTGTTGGTGATAACTCACGGAACGCTGCCAGAGCCCTGCACCAAGCGAGCTAACCGGGCGCCGCTCGGCCAGCGACCGGCTGCAGCCAGGCACGAGGCATGCCCGCTCGGTTCACACCTTCGCCCGCTCGCCGCCCGCTCGCTAGGGAACCAGGCATGAAGTGGGCGGCATCCGGGCCGCCTGGCTGGAGCGAGAGAGAGAGAGACGAGCCAGCAGTAGCGGGTGGGAGAGAGACGCAACATAGGCAGATTCGCCTACCTGGCGCGCGTCACATTCGGCAAGTCTACGGAAGCTGCCGAAGCTCGCGCGTGTGGTGGCTGACTTGTCGCTACTCTCCGCTCGAGAGACTGTGACACTCTCACTCTACCACCGATGCCTACTTAGCTCGCTCGCTGCAGGGCTCTGAACGCTGCACGCTGAAACTTTATGAGAAATTTGAGATAACTGTAATGGTTATCCAAACTCTGACTAACCAAGGGACTCATGTTCCTTTTTCTTCTATTGATTTGGGACCTTTATACAGAAGTAATGTGATGTACCATAGAGTTGCGAGACGAACAAGCAGGAGGCCGGCCCTTCCGCCAAACGGAGTTGCCAGCTCCAGTTCGCTGCGCCGGCAACTTCGTTCGGCAGGGGCCGGGCCTGCTGGGCCTGCCGGCGGCGACGCTCGGGCCTGCGGCCCGTCTCAGTCTTGCAATTTACTAAAGAACATAATCAAATAAATAATGTGGCCGGTCACTTTGCATATTTGAGTAAACTAAGGCTTGCGGCGGGTGGCCTGCGGCCCGAGATATTTCCTCCATGGGTACGACAAAAGACTGTAACGGGACAACACCATGACTAAACCCCACCCTTCTGCCATGCTTAAAAATAATACAAAAAATTACCCATAGCGTAGTTTTTAGATTGTATTGTTTGTCAAACAGTCTTAAAACATGACTTTTTGCTATTGTTTTCAATATATCCACCTCTAGGGCCGAAACAGTGAAAGGTACGGCAAATCCGAGGGTAGTGCGTGATGCAGAATGTGTTGTTTTGGGGGGGTACTGCCTCTGGCATTTTACGATTGGACGCCTCCTTGTACGTCGAAAAAACCACTCTAGCGCCAAAACGGTGCAAAATAGAGTCAAATGGACAAAATGTTCGCCCAGAGGGCTCTACTTTCAAGAGTTACCCCTTAGGAGACCATAAAAAAAAATTGTTTCCTACTTTTTGGACTAACCCCTATTTCTTTGTTACCCCCTTTCACCCCCTCAGGGAAAGTTCACAGGATTTGCACCAGGCGTTTCGTTGTCCAGGAGTGACCCCGTAGATACCCTGAAATTTGCAGACCTCTCGCTCATCTCCTTCCTCTTACACGGACGGACGGACACGAGAGCGGTCGCATAAGACCGCTTTAATGCTTTTTTAAAACGGAAGGG